TACAAACTCCTCTCCCTTCCCCTCCCCACAACAGACACCCTGTGAGGGGGGTGGGGCTGAGAGAACTCTGACACAAACTGCTCTTTTTCAAGGACAGCTGTGTCAGAGCTTGTGGCTGACCCAAGGTCACATCAGCAGGTGCAAGTGGAGGAGTGGGGAATCAAACCCGGTTCTCCCAGATTAGAGTCCGCGCACTTAACCACTACACCAAACTGGCTCTCAGTACAGCCCCAGTCCCCTGGCAAAGTACAGCCCCAGTCCCCTGGATCTCAGAAGCTAAGCAGGGTGGGTAATTGGATGAGGGGCAACTAAGGAAGGCTCTGCAGAGGAAGGCAATGGCTGACCACCTCTGCGTCTCACTTGTCTCGAAAGCCCCTTGCTGGGGTCACTGGAAGTCCGTTGCGACTTGATGGCACTTAATATATGTACGCGAGATGTGAATGCTTCAGACTGTGTTCTCTCTGATAGTAAGGGAACGATAGATTCCTCCCCAACCCTCCCCTGCTCTGCCCAACATGGCGAGCTCAACCTATAGGGATCACTCAGCATTTCTAACATGAACATGTCCCTCTTGAGGTCAACGGTGCTTGCCCTAAGAGGAAACCAGTAAAATACCCTTAAAAAAACTTGCCCAGGAATTAAAATTCACAACCTCATTCTATACAAAAGGCTGCTTGTAGTATAATATCATGATCTTGTTTGTTATGCCCTGCTGGCATTTTGTAACAGTGTGAGGGCACAAACCCAGAAAGGATGATGCATATTTAAGTGACACTGACTTTGTTAAAACCAATAGTGCTTAAAAGTTCTTAAAAGAGCCAGTTTGGTGTAGTGGTTAACAGCGCGGACTCTAATCTGAAGAACCGGGTTAGATCCCCCACGCCTCTACATGCAGCTGCTGGTGTGATCTTGGGTCAGTCACAAGTTCTCTCAGAGCTGTACTCTCAAGAGAGTCCTCGAAAGAGCTCTCTCAGCCCCACCTACCTCACAGAGTATCTGCTGTGGGGAGGGGAAAGGAGGTTGTAAGCCACTCTGAGACTCCAAGTGAGGGGCAGGGTATAAATCCATTTCTCCTTCTCCTTATCGTCATCACCACCACCACCACCACCACCATCTTGGCCTCAGTTAGTGCCCTCTTCACAATCAGCAGGGGGGTAGAGAGCAGGGCGCAATGGGGCAAACTGCCACTGGTCCCCACAAGGCTGAGGGCCCCCATGATATTTGTTGATACTGCCTAAGGTTAGTAGAGAAAAGGCACTGTTCCTATCTGGCCTTTCACCTGGAGGGCAATGGCTTACCAGTCAAAGAGGAGACTTGTTTGCCTATCTAGTGAATAAGTATTTAGTATGTAGCATAACCATGGGCCCCGGTCACATGGAGCATTAAGCACGCTAGAGAGACGGAAGATAGGCGGATTTTCCGGGCGCGATCTCACCGCCACATCTGGGAAGCGTAGAGCTCCCGTGGCTCACCCGAGGCTTCA